GCCCCCCCCCCCCCAGCAAACGGTGGGTGGCGAAATACCCCAGCAACTGCCGGGTTAAGGACCTGCATCGGCTCTGAGGGCTCAACTTGGCCTTTTCTGGACTCTGGGGTCCAACACCAGCCCAAGCCTGTCTTTTAGGGTAGATGGGACCCTGAGGGTCCCATCCTTGCCTCAAGGACCCGCATTAGCCTTTGAGAGCCTCAAAGGCTAAAGCCGGCCTCTGATGGCCTCAAACTGCCATTTTCAGGCCCTGTACTGGTCTCTGAGGGCCTTAAACTGGCCTCTGAGGGCACAAACCGACCTTTAAAGGTCCCACACCGGTTTCTGATGGCCCATTTTCTGCCTCTGAGATCCAAGACTGACCCTTTTGTGCCTCTGAGGGCCCCGTACTGGCTTCTGAAGGATCGATGCCGGTCTCTGAGGACCAATGTCAGTCTTATAAGGGCCTCACACTGACATTTGAGGCCCACATTAACCTCTGATGGCTCCAAATTGAGGCCCTATTTAGTCCCCAATCAGCCTATAAGGTCTCTGATGGCCCTATTTTGTTGTGTGGCTGGGGACCCATGGCTTACACCCTTAGGCGTCACGCACTGGCCTCTGAGAGCCCACATCGGCCTCTGGGGTTCCATACGGGCCTTTGAGGCCGCTATGGCCATGGGCCCCTTAAGCTAGCACCGCCCCCCCCCCCTCCGAGAGTTGGCAAAGTTGCCAAGTTGCCCCCACCCCCAAACGCCAAGTCTGCTACCGCCCCTGCATTCAGATGCATCCATTGTAAAAAAAAAATAACCTGCACTGCAGTGATTGGGGGCTGGGGCACTGGCTGCTAGCAAGTTTTTTTTTTCCGGGAAACGGAAGTGGTAGTTCCTACCGGACGTCTGACCGGACCTTTATTTTTGCATTTGCTTCTGGGTGGGCAAATCGACGCCACTGGGTGGGCAATTGTGGTGACTGGGTAGGCATTTGCCCACCCAGTGGGTATGTTAGAGGAGGCCTTGGCAATGAGCGAACAATCGTTTATAAGGAACTTCACTCTGGTGAATGGGAGCTTTGGAGGCGTCTGGCTCCTCCACACACATACATCTGCAGTAGGTGGTCGGCCAGCTTTCGGCGCAGTTTCCGTATATGTAGGTATACCTACTTAATTATAAGCAGGCAGTTTCCGCTAAACCACTTGGCGAGGGCGACTGCGGCGTCCACCCGGTCCTGGTTTGTATAACTATTCCATTTTTTGGAACCATTTGCTCTAATGGTACGTACCTGAAAAAGAGATTAATTGGTTTAATTTACATTGCATGTTTGCTTGAAAAATAACTTATTGATGCATTAATACTGTAAAAACACTTCTCATTGATCCGTATAAAATGTTCATTTGATTTTAAATGCGGACAGAGAATGAGCGTGCTCGGTGATAAGTAGACAAATATTTGTGTTTTGTATTTCATTTTCCTGGGTCAGAAGTGCTGGTATTTCACAAAGATATAAAGGCACGGAATGCAGCTTTTCTGAGCGAGGGTATAAGTCGTTAGGCTGAACAGTTATTCAGCTTCATGTTTGATGGCGTCAAACTCAGTCAAAATCGTGACGTTTACATACGATCAAGCGCACCATTCAATACACTTACCTACCGTAAAACTCCATGCCAGTCCCCTTGATAAGAGCAGTGAGCACTATCCCTTCTTCGCGCTGTCACACGCGCCCAAACATCAACCACCAAATACCCCAACACCGGTGTGTCGTTTCGTCGCACAGCGCACAGACTGTCACAAACGCTGCACATGATTGGCGCAGAACTGCGCATGCGCGAACAGCCGAACAAGTATGGCTAAGCTCCGGCTTTACTCCAGAGCGCTGTTCGGCAGCCGGCTATTTTGTGTGCAGGGTATGACGTATTTCGCGAGCCGACGTCACAGGTGGTGACGTCGGCTCGCGCGCGAGCCGAGCGCCAACGACAAACTAACGGGAACCCTCTGACACCCTCGGGGCATAAACCGCGGAGTAGCGTATTGAGCGAGTCTTATACGGAAAATTCATATATTTTCGTTTCTCAAATGATAATCAGGGTGTCTCTTACCTTTTTACATATCATTTAGGCTTACCTAACACTTCAGTTGCCAAATATCTGCAATTTATTCAAGCGAAGGTATTTTCAGTAAATATCAATGGTTTAGACCGAAATCTTTTGAATAAAAACTCCAACCAACAGAAATAAAAATAACTTAATTTATTCCAACCATTTCCTCCAAATAAACAACATAAAAACTCACTTTTACACACATCATTCATAATAAAGCATACTAACACGCCACTTTTGACAATTGCGGCGTCGAGTGGCGCGCTGCTAGCGCTCTTTTTCGATCGCAGAGACCCTGCACGCGCGCGAGCACACTACGTCACGTCCGGGGGGCACAGGTATATGAAAAATCGCAGTGACGTAACACTTTTCTCGCTTCTCATTGGTCAATAGCCCGTTGCCGGGGTAACGTGCACGTATGTGAGCGCCGGCAAGAGTACTAGCCGGCCGCCGATCAGGGCTCAGTTAGCCGAAGGACACAGCCAGCTTGATCAGCCCGCGCTCCGCCCAAGTTAAGCCTGTTTTGGATGCGCGGGCAGATGTCGGGCTGAGCTACTGCTATCCGTACGTGGGCATAGCTGCGGCATGCCCCAGCTAAGCCCTAGTAAAAAATACATTGGTTTTGATCAAAGTGGGCAAACCCAAGCTAAGCCTAAGCTGCCCGACGCTTGCCACAGTTCAGCCCAAGCGAATTGCTCGCTGGGTTGTCATATTATCAGAGAGTATCATCGATTAAAACACTGAAATAAATTCATAAAATGAAGATATTTGCTGTAAAAGAGATCAGGTGCAGATTTGGTCAAATTAGGTGCATTCGCCGGATAGCCCGTCGTGAAAGCTGCTATTGTCCACCAAATTCCGAATTGGACATTGATTTAAAAAAATCGGGATTCCGAAGGCTCAAGTTCCGATTGACACAACTAGAGCCACTATATACCGACCCGCAGCAGCCCGCCGAGCAACCACCGGGACCGGTAAGACTGCCGAACGCAGCTTACCTACGACCTATACGCTTAATTAAGACTTAAGTGCCCTTCCATTCCATTCCATTCCAGAATGTTTATTGCGCATCGACAACCTATAAGTAAAACGATCGGAAAATGAACATGAATAACAGAGATAAAGCAAAATAATATAAGAGTGGTGCAAAAGCACATTGTGCTTGACTCTAGGCACCACCTCTTGTAACATAATCAGATAGACATCATAAACATAAAACAACATGAACATAGCCTTCAGATCAACGTCGAATATAACATAAACATACAACGTAATGAAGGTAACGTAGCGTAATGAAACAAAACTACCACTGCCGCCGCCACGACAGGCCACCGACCCAACCCGCGCTGACGTCACTCAGCCCACCGGGGACGCCGCCCACAAAACTGAATGAGGTAGGTAAATTAATAGGTAAATCTGTGCGAACGAAGCAAGAAATTTTGGAAATGCTGAGCCACCGCACGACAGTCCCCGCCGCCAAGATCGTCGCCATGCAAAAGAACACGTAATAACCGTGTAGTTGACATTTGACCAAAATTTTCGCCAAAAATTTGCAACATGTCCCGGTAAGATTATCATGTGTCCCGGCCCTGATTAGATTATCAGATTAATGCCCACCCAGATAAGGCAGCGTATATAAAAATACCAGAGTTGTGACCACTTGCTTGTCATATCAGTTAAATGCAAGTGGTTTTTACCGACAGAAACACATGATGCCATGGTCGATGTAGACACTTAACTGCATGCACAGTGCAAATAGCTGTAGGTATATGTAACAGCATGACTTTGTTACTCCTCAGCAGAAATAAACGATTAATGATACGAACGGACGGGCGAAGCGCCAACTTAACCCGCGCCGGACCTATTCGTTTTCGACATTTGGTTTTCTAGTTACATAGTTACGCGCCGGCTAAGGGGGTGGGAGTGGGGGGGGGGGGGGTACGACCCCCCTCGTCGTTTCGCCTCTAATGGAGCTAGAGCGTTGCGGAAAAAACGAGCGTGTGCGCCGTTATGAGACGCAGCAATTGGTACCCTGTTTGAAGGTCTCAGCAACTGGTGACTTCTGAGGTCAAGTCAAGTGGCCCAAGATACGGGTTCGGTTCGCTGCTATTCCCATTTCGGCCGCGAGCTGACGTCACACTTGTGGTAGTGTTGGAGCAATGGGCTTGTTGACGTCTCCATGGAAACCCAATTTGACACGTGTAATAGCTTATCGGGGAAACACCACCCAGAAAGGTAGGTACGCACTACGCTCATTCGTTCGTCATTCAAAATGCGGTCCATCGCTATTGCATATTCTAGTGAAGAGTAGAGCTTACTAGGAAGTAAGCTATGTATGTATGGCACCAACACAGCGCCAATATAGTGATCTGATGGCAATTTGTGAGTTTTGAGAACTTAATAACGTTTCCTTCATCTTTTAATACGCACAGGTCCAAGGCCCTAAAACATACACAGGTCTAACAGGGTGAAGCATTGATACATTTTAGTGGTCTTATTTCATATAATTTTTTATCTTAGCCGCTTAGCTTTCTTAAAAAGTGGGATTCGTTATCTTTTTTCAAATTTTTGTTATTTTCAACTTTAGAAATCATTTCCTTTTTATTAGCTATGAAATATTTTCTGAAAGTAATTTGAAGCAAGAAATGTAGACCCAAAATTATTCTGCCACCCCAAGGGTAATGCTCTTAGTGATGGAAAAATGCTTTTCTTATATGGAGTCGATAGCTGATAAAACTCACGCAAGATTTATGGCCGTTTTAGGACATGAGCTTGGATAAAATGTATAAAGTAAAAAATGATATATTTTATTAATTAGCAGCAATCCAAGATTCTGACAAATTAAGCTCATTTTTTTAATTTTTATCTCCCTGTTTTCGCCTTGGAGAATCCTAAATGTACTGCAGCGAATCCTCTGCGACGCTACTATCGGACGCCATTTTCCTGAAATTGTCGGCCGTAAATGGTGAAATAGACCGGTCATTGTTATGTATTTATGCACCGGCCGGGTGTTTGTGTTTGTGTGCTATGTGGTGCAAGAATGAAGGAATGAGGACGTGTTAAAGTCTGTTATACAGGCGCTACTTGCACCCTATCAATGGTCAAAGTGTTACTCGCGGCGAATTGGACGCACAGGATTACTTTTCCGTCGGGGAATTGTCATCGATGGCCGGGATTCAAGAAGGAGGAGCACATACCAAACAGTATCTAAAAAGCCTGTGATCGTAATAAGGTGAGCTCTAATGAATGGTACTGACTGCTTTTGTGGCTGAAAATAATGCATGTTTTGGTATGCATGCATTGGCTACAGTCAAACTTGCAGCCTGTTTCTTGTGGCAATTAACTGGATTCCATGCATTTGAACAATTTTTCTTTATGTACCATGACCTATTACAGCTTCTTTGATCCTTTGTCTAATTTCTATGCCACAAACTGTGTTAATAGGGTAGCTTTTTGCTGCATATAGTTGCTTAAGTACATATGCGAGTTCCTTTCTGTCAAGGGATGCTTTCTTGTCTTTTTAACTTTACAGAAATTGGTGGCTGGTGGACTTGCAAGTGTTCATAGCCTTGAGCATTCTGGATGTCCTAACATGCTTCCTGTGTTGTGCTTACCATGTTCAAGCAATGCGAGACGTGCTTGGTGGCTGATGGTGACATGCTCATTGAAGCTATAGTTAGTGGCATGTCTGTGGCCTGGCCAGGGCATTCTCATTCTGGCCATGATGCAGTGACTCAGTGATTTGGTTTGTGATGTTATTTTGATGTTAACAAGCAATGTTGATCCACACTGCTGCACAAAGGCAAAAACAACGGTACTCTCTTAGCAGACGTCACCCCAATTGCCAGATCTAATGGCCAGTTGAAAAATCTAGAGACTTTTTGAAAAGTCTCTAAACGGGCAGGAAAATCACCCCGAGGGGTCAATTAGGGGGCGGGGAACACGAATATGACATTTATTTTGGTCTAACTCCCCTCCTTCATCCCTTAATCCTCCCTTAAAGGACGGGGCGCGTCAAAAGTGCCTCAAGGATTCGTCTGATCGCCAAAATAAGGGTCGCAATCGATTCCTCGCGTCAATATGTGGCCGCAGCCTCACGTTCCAGATGTGTGCAGCGTATCCCTTATCCCTTAATCGTCCCTTAAAGGACGGGGCGCGTTAAAAGTGCCTGAAGGGTTCGTCTGATCGCCCCCCTCCCTACGGAGCGCGATATAAGGGGCATTTAAGGGGTAAGGGACCGGTGCCAAACATCTGGACTGGAACCCAAAACTGCGGCTAGATATCGACCCGAGGAATCGATTGCGACCATTATTTTGGCGATCAGACGACACCTTGAGGCACTTTTGACGCGCCCCTTCCTCTAAGGGGCGATTAAGGGGCCAGGGACCGGTGCCACACACCTGGATCTCGAGGCTGCGGCTAGATATCGACCCGAGGAATCGATTGCGACCCTTATTTTGGCGATCAGACGAGCCCTTGAGGCACTTTTGACGCGCCCCGTCCTTTCAGAGACGATTAAGGAATAAGGGATACGCTGCAGTCTGCACACATCTGGAACCCGAAGCCACGGCTAGATATTGACCTGAGGAATCGATTGCGACCCTTATTTTGGCGATCAGACGAACCCTTGAAGCACTTTTAACGCGCCCGGTCCTTCAAGGGACGATTAAGGAATAAGGGATATGCTGCATTCTGCACACATCTCGAACGTGAGGCCACGGCTAGATATTGACCTGAGGAATCGATTGCTATCCATATTTTGGCGATCAGACGAACCCTTAAGGCACTTTAAACGCGCCCCGTCCTTTAAGGGACGATTAAGGGATAAGGGATACGCTGCACACATCAGGAATGTGAGGCTGCGGCTAGATATCGACCCGAGGAATCGATTGCGACCCTTATTTTGGCGATCAGACGAGCCCTTGAGGCACTTTTGACGCGCCCCGTCCTTGAAGGGACGATTAAGGGATAAGGGATACGCTGCACACATCTGGAACGTGAGGCTGCGGCCACATATTGACGCGAGGAATCGACTGCGACCCTTATTTTGGCGATCAGACGAATCCTTGAGGCACTTTTGACGCACCCCGTCCTTTAAGGGAGGATTAAGGGATGAAGGAGGGGAGTTAGGCCAAAATAAGTGTCAAATTCGTGTTCCCCGCCCCCTAATTGACCCCTGGGGTGATTTTCCTGCCCATTTAGAGACTTTTCAAAAAGTCTAGATTTTTCAACTGGCCATTAGATCTGGCAACTGGGGTGACGTCTGCTAAGAGAGTACCAAAACAACTATGCTAGGGTGAACTCCATTACATTATGGTAACCCCTGACCTGCTTTAATTGCTTTTGCCTTTGCATGGCAGTATACCTTATCAGATATGAAAGTTTTTTTTTTTCTGCTGCCAATTAGCCTAGTTTTGTTGTTATCCCTCCATGAAATGAATTGCAATAAGTATGCTCTAGCTAATCCTTTAAAATCCTAAATATTTTTTATTCAGTCATTTGTTATTTCTTTAGAGCTAGCAAAGTGTTATGGAATTTTAGTCAAAACTTGGTGGAACTGGTCATTAACTGGCATCAGAACATCTTTTTCCTGTATTAGTTCCAGTGTTTTTTTTTTTTTTATCAACCTGAGATGTTTTAGGGTCAAAATTTCACTGGTGGAAAACTGAAATGAACATCAGCTCATTACATTATAAGTTATAATTAAAAGTTTTTGAATCAATGCTGAACCAGTAGTATTAGAACACAAAAGTGAAATGCTGCATTTTGCTACGCTCTGTTACTCATGACTGTTTTTTTTTCATGAAATTTGTGCATTATAGCTCCCCTTTGGTTCAGATACATTTGCAAGTGCCTTGTTATACAACTGCATATTAGATACCAGGGAAGCAGCTAGGTAATTTCTGTTGAGATGGACACAATGTTTTTTTTTATTACCTTTTTTCAATATTGGTGGTAGTGGTGGTGGTGGTGGGCCCACAGTGTTCAACAATATATGATGGGCCGGTGGTGTCATTTGCAACAAGCATGGCTTAGTGGAGCTCCTGGGCCCAGCCCATAGCCAGTAGTTACCCAGTCATCCAATTAGACAAAATTTCTAGAAAAAATAACAACATTAGACTATCACTGACTGATTTCTTGATTGGATGAGTTTAGAAACATGGTGTTTTTGTCTGCATGTCCTGTTGCTGGTGTTCCATTGGTGAATGGAGTTTAGACAAAAAATTTGACCTTTACACAAAGCTATCTGTGTCCCTTATGTGCAGATGGGGGTCTAAATGCCATGACCTCAAGGCCCAGGATACCCCATGGCCCATTCCCAGGACACCTCACCAGACAGTAATATAGACAAGGTCAATTCAGTGCAGTAGGGGTCATGGGGCAAATCATTGATGAAACATGGACAAGTTCCAACATAGTAAGATATGCCTAGGTATTGTCCATTATTTTGTGGCAAATCTGATTGTCTGTGACCTAATTTTATTTCCTGTGACCCATGACTGATGTGGAGACTAAATGGACCATCATATTATCCTAGTCCACTTAAACCTAGACCTATGTCTATAGGTACCTACCTTTTTCCCTTAATGATATACCTTAATGACCAGTCATGACTCAATTGTATTTTGACACTGCAGGATTGGCAAAAATGCATGGCATTAAGAAGTCAGTGACACGTGGTAGGTAATGCTCTAGCATGGTACATTTTGAAGCTGGCCTGGAAGAGGCTTCAGAGGCTTAGATCAAATTCTTTTCACCACTTGAGGTGGGGGGGGGGGGGTAATTAATAGAACCAGACACTGTATGACATTACAATGTTATGCTGAATGCATACTGATTGAACATGTTCAGTAACAAGTCACTGTTGTAGTTGCTTGATACCATTGTGGGCAGTGCGGTGCTGGAGTGCTGAAATCTCAACTAAAGTCGTCGGGTGAAAAGATGCAATATTATTGCTAATCATTCACTTTGTATGCATTACAATGACTTAACCACCTTAACCCGTGCACCGACGGGGAGGGCGGATATCCGCGCCCCCCCCCCCTGAGGTTTTTCGTAGATAGCGGGAAAACCGCCGCGGCGCCGCGAAATTTGGTACCTACGACTATTCTCTCCATCAATTTTACACACGGTGTGCAAGTTTGAACCTCCCTAACTTTTAAGGTCAGGTCACCAGGTCACTTTGAATGACCCAACCTCAAGTCACTTTTTTGCAACTTTGTCACCGTACCGTGCCAGAGCTACAGTAGATGTCTGAGGCCTTTGAAAGTCGCAGGATGTTATAAGGTCATTAGTAGCTACAATTTATACCTATATCTCGGAATTTTGATATCGATGACCTAAGGTCAGGTCAATTTCTCGACCTCCCCATTATAATGGGGGGGGGGGGGAAATCAACTAATTAAATATGGTGATGAAATTGACCAATAACATGGCAGTGAGACGCATTTTATGTAATAAAATAAGGCCGAAATTTGTACATATTTGTACCTTTATTTGTATCAGTGTTGTTACGTGTACGCCTCAATTGCGCAATGTGCATCGCTACATGACCTCCAAAAGCCATCTGGGCCAATGTGCACGTGTGAATATTTGGTTCCGTTACAATTTTTCAAATGTGATTGCCTCGGCTAGACCAGAACCCGATGATGTCGTAAGACGAAACCGCGTTCTATATTTCGGCCTTATTTTGTTATATAAAAATACATCTCACTGCCATGTTATTGGTCAATTTCATCATCATATTAAATATTTGATCATGGCAAAACCGACCATTCAATACATCAAAAATCAACTCCCTATTTTTACCACTAAAACGGGGTCGGAATGGCCCCATAAACCATACATGACTTCATAATACGATCAACCTTAACTACCTTGAGGTCTGTTTAAGCTCATACTGACATATATGGCAAAAGTCAATTATTCAAAATAATTTATATTAGGACCAAAACGCGTTTGGATAATATCGTCATCAGTTGGTCCTAAAAAATCCATTTTTAGGACCAACTGATGACGATATTATCGAAACGCGTTTTGGTCCTAATATAAATTATTTTGAATAATTGACTTTTGCCACATACCTTGAGGTCTGTTTTGCTGTTGGGCAGCTGTAAGGTCATGTGACGTCATCAAAGGTCACCAGTTTTTTTTTTGCCAATAACTCCGTACAGGAACAAGATACAGCCGCACGGATGGTCTCTTGTGTTCAGCTCGTCAAGACGTATCGAATGATATACATGATGACCTCGAGGTCACGTGACCTGAGGTTAACCTTTGACCTTGACCTTTCGAGGTCAACATATATTCATTCGATGCGAATTGACAAGAGGTTCACGATGATGCCCTTTGTTTGTTCCTATCTTGACTAATTCGAAAGTTATTCGAGAAAAACTCTCCATATCTAGCGCCGCCATTTTGACTTTTTTGACCCCTGTGACGTCATCTTTGACCTGACCTGAAAATGACCTTAGTAAACATTGTAGACCTTGTCCGTGCGTATCCGATGCCGTTTACCGCTTGTCGCTATCTTGCTTCGTTCTCGAGATCTCAGGGGGGGGGGGGGCGGTCATCCGCCCCCCCGTCGGTTCTAAGTTGGCGCAGACCCCCGTCAGTGCGCGTGTTAAGCTTACTGCCTAGGAAAATGAAGTGAATGCAAGCCCTGCAGTACTGAAATCATGCAGAAATACCTATGCTGTCATTTTTTTTAACCGTGTTTTGCGTCCTTTAAAAAAAAAAGAACCAGTTTACTCCGTTCTATTTATTAGGGGTGTCCCATTATGGAACACATTTGGAGTACTTTTGGAGTCACCCGACTGCATGTATCTACGTGAATTTTGGGGTTATCTGGTTAAAATCATAAAATTATGTATTTATCTGATTGTATCTGATCACGTTGCTCGGTTAGTGGCTCGATGTGAACCAGTCATCTTGCTGTGTAATATCTCTATTTCTGGGTCTCTTGACATCTACACTCGTCCGGTCAATATCCTCGCGAGTTCCGACCAAGAAGAAGGAACTACTTTGCAAGAGGCGCTGTGACTGTCTGGCGGTGGAGACTCGGCACTGACCGGGCCGCGACGGGGGAAAATCTCATACGTTTGTGGATACTTGACGCATAAGCGTATATTTTTTCCCCTGTCGAGGTTGCGGGATGTTCGACGTTGGTCGGACAACGGGCGTTTGAAATTATGCAAGTGTCGAAGCATCCGTCCAGAAACTCAAACAACCCACCGGCGGACACCGGGAGACTGGCCGCGGCGCGGTCCGCTGGAGCGCCGCTGCGGGCTGCCGTCCGTTCTCGTGCCGCTGGTGGGACTGGGGGCGCCCGTGCCGGCCGGACGGGATGCTGGGTCGGCCGGCGGTCGGCGCCGGCTGCTGGGTGGGCGCTGTGGCCGGCTCAGTGGCCGCCGGTGGTGGCGCGCGCCATTGATTAGTGACGTGGTCGAGCGGCGGGCGACACGTGAGGCGCCGACCGCCGCTCTGGCTGACGCTCGGCCGCCGCCGAGACTCCCCCGGGAGGGGAGGGGGTGCGCCGGGGTGACCCGTGAGACGGGCCACGGTCGGGCCGCTGCGCCCTATGACCTACGCGTTACCATGGGTGACTGGTACAGTCGAACAGCTGGAGCCGCGGGTGCTACTTGAGCTACCTAGCTACGAGTGTATGGGCTGCGCTGTCGGGATAAATTGAGTTTTTTTTTTTGCTGCAAACTCTTGAAAGTGCATCGTAAAAATTGTTTTTGTATGAGCAAATAAAGATACACTGCAGCTTGTGACACATTTGCCTCCTTGTTTGACAAGTATAATGATTTGTGATTTTATATCTTTTATTCACCTGATTCTCGATCAATTTTCTATCAGCTTCGTCCGACGTTACTTTACAATATACGCATGCTAGATAAGTGAAGGAAATGGAACATAGGAAATGATGGAAGGAAAGTTACGGTTATTCTGTCATATCCTTCTGCGTATTTGCTGATTGCATGCAGCTGGCTTTGTCTTTTTATGAAGCTGGTGTCAATGTTAAGTCCCATGCTGTGCGTGTATGATTGTATGCTGACCTGTGTTCTATTTTCGGCAGACGGCGCCATGGACAACTTCAGCAGTCTGTTCGGTGACGACAGCCTGGGCCTGGACGGCCTGGAGTCGTTCGGCAGTCAGCCGCAGGCCACTCCGGTGCCCGTCTCTGAGGAAGCTGCCTCGGCCTTCCAGCCCAGCCCGGCCGTTTCACAGGTGAGGTCCGCCCTTCGAGCGGAACGACGGTGTCCGTGCAGTGTTAGACCTGACTGTGTGACGACGTAGAGCTGAACCACTGCTGTGATGTGGTCTGCTCTCAGCGGGCTGCTCGGTTGGTCAGTGGTCAGCTGAGGCACCGAACTTCAGGGAGGTGCTTCACTGGACGCTGCTATTCCATTTCGCGAGCTGACGTCACACTTGTGGTAGTGTTGCAGCAATGGGCTTGTTGACGTCTCCATGGAAACCCAATTTGACACGTGTGATAGCAGCGTGCTGCTATCTTCGGTGAAACACCACCTATGGCTCTAACATGCTCTGGGTCTTTCCTACATCCGTCCGAAGATCGTGGTCGACCCACCCATTGCGGTCTCGCCACTTTCCAACTGACATTGAATGAGCCAAACAGTACTCATTTTCACCTCCGGCGACATCTCCTTGGTCAATGGTCATGCGTGGTGGGTGCGCCGTCCGCTCCTTTCCATATCGGCGCCAGCCACACTGCACGGGCCGTAGCGAGCCGGGTGAGCTCAAGACACAGGCACTGAGCGTGTGATAATGGTGCCGCGCGAGCCGGCATTGTGTGATCTGGCCCGTCATCGTGGCAGGGTGAGGCTGCCGGTGACGCGGCGATACAACCACCCTCCGTGTCGCTACCGCTGGGACATGGAGTCGCTGAGCGGGTGGGAGAAGACAGGTGCATGCGTGGCAAGGGTAGGCTGAGGCTCGTGCGGGCGCTGGGCGGAGCTGTGGTTTGGGGTAGGCGTAGGCTTATGGTATGTTGATATTACCTGGCGCGGACTTCATCGGAGTTGATGCGGAATCGAAGTTTATTGTTTGCTGACGCACATGAACCGGAACCGAAAGGTATTCAGCGCTCATTTTGGACTTCAACTAAACTTTTATGAATGAAATTATGCCATGAATGAACGCAAAGCCTCTGGCCGTTGGCGCAGTTGGCGCGTTCCCTTACCGCCTCCCGAGTGGGCTTCAGTTCTGACGGATAGGTGACCGGGGTCGGTTGTGTGTTCTGCCCGCTTTAGGGCCCGTCAGTGTCTGTCCTCGTCTGTCTCAGTTCTACCCTGTCGGTCGGCCCCTGTCCGTTGGTACTATATGTCGCTTGGCTAGTCTGTTTCTGCCGTGCCCCGACCGGCTGATCGGTCCCTGTCGGTTTCTTCTACACTGTGTGGCCCACTCTGGTCCGCTCCGTCTTTCACGTCTGTCGGTGGATGGGGTGGTGCGCACGTTGAACCAGGTACGGTGTGATAATGAAGTGTACTGGTTGTGTCACTGGGCTGGCGGTCCCGTGCTCCTGGAACATTGCTTCGTTGATGAATCTGGGCGTCCTGTCGTGAAGGCGTCTAAACTGAAGAAAATAGGGGATATCTGTGGTATGGACTGCTTCTGGATGTTTTGCTGCCCGCACGCTCGCTCGCAACTGGTAGAACTAGGTATATGAGATGCGGTTTTCAGTTCTTTGAGTTGCATATTGGTTGGTGACGCTATTGCTTTGAGTTGTGAGATTTTTAGGCACGAGGTCAACTATTGGAAACATTTGGATTTGTGGTCGTTTCAATCTTTTCCATATTGTCTCGCACCGTCGGAATCCGCCTTTGCTTTGACCAATCACTAGCTCTACCGTAGTCTGCCTCTGCCTCTGTCGGAACGTTTGTACCCGCTGCTACAGGAGTTTACTGCAGGAGAGCATTGCGCGTCAGCACGATATGCGGTCTGAGGCTGGGCGGGACACATGTACCACGCAGAAGGCCATTAAAGTCTCCCAATTACCACCGCATCATCAATCATCTGTTGCAGCATTTGTGTCAATCAGTCAGATTTGCTCGGACATCTGAGCGATAGTATCAGGGTACGCCGTCAGTCCGGTTTGCCGTAGAGGCGCCGAATTTATATCCGCATGAGAAGGCGAACTGGTGGATAGTCACTAAGGAGTTAATGATTGCTGGTTAATATGAACTACATTTCTGAACTGCCGGGTTATTTTTTGATGATCTTTATTGACTAATTTATAGATTATAGAGTCGTTTTTATGTTTATTTTATTTATTGAAAAGAAGTATATATTCTTTTACCATGCTCTTGGGTGTGTTTTCCACTCCCATCTAATTTGATTCATTTAATTTTATCTTTTTGCCACGCTCTGTAGCCCGCTAACAGTATATTAAGAATGAAGACCTATGTATTTATTTGAACACTTGGTCACGGGTGTTCAATTCGCGAGCTTCGTGGTTTTATGAAACGGTAACTGGCGACGCTCCTCTGGCCCTAGCAGTGATGTATCGATCCGTCTCCAGCTCAGTTCTGGATTCGTATGTTGGGGACGGTTCCACCCCTGCCGTCTTGAACGGCCAGTCAGGCGCTGAGGTGACACCAGACCGATGTTTGACCCAGCGGTGCCCGTGACGTAACGATGACCCGTGACCACCGCCGGCGACAGTATAATATCGGCCGGTGCGGGCTGTGTTAGGGCGAACTCCATACATTACATAAGTGCTACATAGTTTGATAGACCGCGGCAGTTTATTGTTTATTTGTTTATTTATTGGCATAGCGTCTACAGGCAAAGCCCCACTTACGGATGCAGTCGCACACTGACAATAACAACCACTCACACACACTGGATGGAAATAAATATGAGTGATAACACTGATCAAAATCCAAATAAATTAACTAGATGGCAAGAGCCTAAAAGTAAACCGACAGGCAACAGCCTAAGAATATAGAAGACATGAGCAAAAGCCTAAGAGAATATACAAGTATAGGCGCCTGGCTAATGAGCGAGGCTAAAAGTACACTGACATGAGAAATCCCCTAAAAGTAAACAGCACAGGCAATAGCCTGAAATCCTAAAAGAGTGTAGGTATAAGCAAGAATGACAGTGGATGAAATAAAAAGACGAAAAAGACGAAAAATGAGCGTAGACAATGACGATGAGAATAAAACCGGTATCGGCTAGTTGCTACATGAGGAGCTATATCAGTGACCTTAGGCTAAGTATGTTCCCTGGTCGTCAGCAAATCTGGCTATCTCCGACCTTAGCCTGCAGCTAGGCATAAAGAAATCGGCGTCGGGGCTGCTGTGGACAAGCGAGTTCACGTGCTGGGGAAGACGAATCAGAAATCCTCGCTTCACAGTGTCCACTCTTCCGCGCGGCACATGAAAGAGCTCGGGACGGCGCGTGCGACGGCCGGGTGCCGATAGAGAAAACATGGCCAAGATGTCGGGACAGTCCAAGCGACCACTGAACACGGAGCGCATGTAGTTGATGTCACACTGTGTGAATCGTGACCTCACTGATTCGCAGCCGAACAGTTTAAGCAGCGATGCATAGTCGAGTGAAGGGCACCTCGCCTGTGTCCGGGCGCCCAGCCACATGAGAAAACGGTGCTGTAGTCGCTCTAATCGGCGCAGGTGGGTGACAGCGGCACCCGACCAGATAACACAGCCGTATTCCATTACGGAACGCACGTGCGCCTTGTAGGCGGTGAGGGCTGCGACACAGTCGAACTGCGCTCGATGCACCCGTGTCGAGACCTGCATGCTCCTCATCAGCAAGCCCAGCATGCGGTTCGACTTCGAGACTATAGCATCAACATGGTCTGCGAAGTTAAGCTTGCTATCTAAGATGATGCCAAGGTCACGCACATTAACACACCTCTCGAGCTGGTGACCGTCGAGCGCGTATGAAGCGACATGAGGTGATGAGCGCAGGGTGAAGGTGATGGTCTTGCACTTGGCCGGGTTGAGCTTCAGGTGCCAGGTCCTTGACCACCGGCTGAGACGGTCCAAGTCAGCCTGAAGGGCGTGGGCATCCTCAGGAGAGGACACACGGTGAAAAATTTTGACGTCGTCAGCGTATGACAAGCAAGATGACCCGATGTGTTTAGGGAGGTCAGCGACAAAGCAGGTGAAGAGCAGGGGGCCCAAGATGCTGCCCTCCGACACTCCGGAGATGACCGGAGTCCAGTCAGAGTGTTTTCCATCCAGCACTACACGCTGGGACCGCTGGCTAAGGTAAGACTCAACCCAGCCAAGTGCAAGACCCGATATGTTAAAAGAGTGCTCCAGCTTGTGTAAAAGCAGCTTGTGGCTTACACTGGTAAAAGCTGACGAGTAATCTGTGTAGATAGCGTCCGTTTGCGATCCCTTTGTCAGTGAGGTCCAGCAGTGTTCCAAGAAACAGGTAAGGTTGCTCATGCAAGAGCGTTTTGGAAGAAATCCGTGCTGGGAAGGAGGCAGTGCAGGAAGACATGCACGGAGCAGGTCCTCGCACACTACCTTCTCCAGAATTTTTGAGCAGAGTCAGGGGCGTCGTTTTGTATAGGCCTGGTAGGGCCCGAGCCCTACCAATGTTTATTTGGGCCCTACCAGTGTTCGCTGAGCTCTACCAATCTTTTGTCACTTGGTAAAAAAATCAAAATAAACAGATAAGCAAATAAGCATATATGTACATTCGTCACAGATGTGTGTGGCCTGTGGGCCGTAGGAGCTGCTGTCGGGAACCCTTCGCAAGCCGGCAGGGGATTCTTAGGGAACGGCAAGGTGTCCTCGCTCCTCAGGCCGGCAAAGGGTCTTCAGAGGCCGGCAGCACCTTCAGAAGTTCAGTGGGGTCCTTAGAGAACGGCACGGTACTCTCAGACTCCGGTGGGATCCTCAGAATTGCCGGTGTGGGCCACGCAAAAGTCACTGGTGGGTGTCCGTCAGATGCATATGTGTGGGGCTTTCAGAGGCGCCGGAGTGGGACCTGCACAGTCGCCGGTGAGGGCCCTCTTAAGCGCCGTTTCGGGGCCCTCAGATACACTGGTTTATGGCCATCACAGATATGCGTGGGACCCTTAGAGCTGCTGAGCTAAGTGCTGGTGCGGGCCCTTCATAGGACGACAAGGGGACCTCAGAGGTCGGTGGTGCCTTCAGGAGCGCCGAGGGGTCCCTTTAGACCGGAATAGTATTCTCAGATGCTACTGGGACCCTCAGAGTCACCAG